CATCGGCCGGGAAGGGTCACCCCCTCACCAGGAGGGCTGGACTGGTCCAGGGCTGCTGCTCTGCCTCAGGGGCGCGGGGGAGTGGGGAGGGCAGGACCCAGGACTCTGCTGGGGTGCAGGTCAGGCCGGCAGGAGGAACGCCCATGCCCACCCCCAGGCCCAGGGGCGGCCTTACCTTCCAGAAGCTTTAACACCTCGCTCTCAGGCCCAGGTGGTGGCACCCTCCTTGGAGGGGGAGCAAGCCCCCCCCAACTCTGGGGCATCACAGGGATGGGGCCTGCCGTGGACAGAGGCCAAGCCCAGATCAGAGACTTGGGGGGCGCTGTGCTGCTGGGGATCAGGGCTGGGGGGTGGGGCAGGGCCCTGGCTGCTGAGCAGTGCAGAGCAATGTGGACGCCCAGGTCCTGGGGTGACGGCGCCCTGAGGCAGAGGCCAGCCTGCCCCGGCCCCTGCCCCTCCCCAGGTGCAAGGCCCAGGGGCGCTGGGTCTGCTCACCTGGGAGCCTTGGCCACTGGGCGCCCCTCCTCCTGACCCCCGATTGGGCCATCCTGAAGACCCAGCGGGCAGATGGGGCGGCCCTTCCGGGGCCCTTCAGGGGGCCGGACGCCGGGCAGGGCACCATGGGTTGCCGGGAAGCTGAGGCCCAGGCCCCGATGCCCCGCCCTGGGGAACAGGGTGGCCCTGGCCTGGCGGGGGTTCCTTCTTCACTGCCCAGCCCCGGGAGCACAGCAGAGGGAGCAGGTTCTGTGCCCGGAGGACCTTTCTCCCACCCTCCCAGCCCAGAGCCCTGAGGGCCGAGCCAGGGCCCAGAGGCCCCGGGGAGGCGGCTCCACAGGGAGTGGCCTCGAGGGCATTCCTCAGACAGCCAGAGACATGGCCTCCTGCGGAGAGGCAGGGGAGGCTAGGGTACCGGGGTGCACTTGGATGAGGCTGGGAGCCCTCCAGGGAGAGCCAAGGGGCTGGCAGATGGGGAGAGGCCAGTGCGGCTGCCAGAGGCCGTGCAAAAAGCCACAGAAACACTGCATCCCTCGGGACCAGTGACCGTAGCCAAACTGCCCTGTCCAGTAGCTCACTCACAGCTGGCCATGGAGGGCCACTGCCAGGGGGCCACAGCCACCCTCCCCTCCAGCATGGCCCAGGGAGCCTGAAAAGAGCAAAGCCCGGCCCCGGGGCGTTACATTGCAGGGAGGGCTGGGGAGGGGTCAATGTGCACAGAGACCAGCACTGGCATCCTGGAGAGGCACAGCTGGAGGGGCACAGCGTGGCAGGTGGGCTGAGGGGCTGGGGGCGTCCTGGAGCGGGGTTAGGGCCTGAGGCAGGAGGAGCGGGTCTACTTATTACTCTGCTTTCTGGGGCGTGGGGGGCCCCAGGGAAGACATGGGGTGGAGGAGGTGGGCTGGGAAGACAAGTGTCCCAAGCTGGAGGGCCTGGGGGCGCTTCCGGCCCAGAAAGTGGCCGGTGATAAAGGAGGCCGTGGGGGAGGGGACCAGAGGCGAACATAAAGTCCAGGAAAAACAAAAGCTACCGGACAGATGGTGCAGTCCTCACTGGGCCCGCAGGTGGGCCGGCCATGCAGCCACGCACCTGCCCCGTCCCTCTCCTCACTGGCGCGGCCCAGCTGGCCCTTCGCTCCGCGCCGCTCCCAGGAGTCGCCGTCCAGCCTCCCCCGCCCCCCATGAGCCTTCCCATCAAGGTCAACACGACCAGCATGCCAAGTCCAGTGTCCTCGTTTGACCTCAGTGGCATGATATGCTGACCCATCCCAGTGTCCACCCCCAGCAGGGTGCCCTCATGCCATCAGCACCCCCTTTCCTCGGCCCACACCCAGGCTGCAGGACCCACGGTCTGCCCCAGCCCCGCCCAGGCCTGTCCGCCCAGTTGCCTCCTGGGCTTCTCTGCTCAGGGCACACCTCAAGCCCACCCTGGACAGTGCCTTCGCGCCCCTGGCCCTTCCCTGAGCCCAGTCAGGCTCCCCGGCCCCCCATGAGCATTCTCATCAAGGTCAAGGACCGCGGGCCAAGGGCAGAGCCGTGGCGCCTCTCGCCGCCCCAGGTTCCTGCCGGCCTCACGGACAGCAAGGACCCGCCTGCTCTCACCGGGGCCAGCCCCGAGGCCCCTCCCCGCTGGCCCCCAGGGGTGCCCTCCGCAAGCCCCCGTGCCTCCCGGGGGCCTCCCTAGAGGCTTTCTGAGGCAGGAGCTGGGAGGGCCCCGCCTCGTCCAGCCAGAGACCCTCGTTCGCGCCAGGCCGACGGGCAGGCAGCACTCACACTCACCGTTCTAGTGTGGGGTGAGGAGCAACTTCAGTACGACTGTCCCGAGTGCTTCGCCAACGATCGCGTCCTTGAAAGTATGACACTTTTTACACTGAAAGCATGCCTGAGCTGCGTCTGCCCGCCTGGCACCCCAAGCCCAGACCCGGGCCATGCTGCCCTCCCACGGGAAGCCCCGGGCAGGGCAGCAGCCCCGGGGCGGGGGGAGCCGTGCCCCAGCCCACGCCCCACGGCCAGACCTGCGGCAGGTGGCACGCCCCGGTTGAAGCCCCAGGCCTGTCCGGGTTGGTGTCATCTGCGGGCCCAGGATTGTTCTCGGTGGTCCCAGAGCCCGCGGCCAGGTGCTTCTAGCCAAAAGCACTGACCCCGGGGCCGGGCGGGGCTGGGCGCCGCGGCGGGGAGGCAGGCCTGGCCGGGAGTGCAGTGGGGGCCAGGAGTGGCCGCTTCACTGGGGCTGGGGCAGTGAGACCCAGGAGCCGGGCCCCCAGGCCCTGCCCTGCGGAGCCCACAGCTTTGCGCTGCTGGTAAGGGCACAGGGGGGCGCAGTGTTTGGGCCTCACCGCGGTGGCACCCCTGGGAGGCCGGTGCCTCAGGGCTGCTGGGGCCGGGGGCGACCCCAGGTGCTGGTGCGGAGGGTGCGGCCCC